TTCGTTTTCTCTAAACGTTAGCAACTATGTAGGGACAATATCTATCTGTGATTCGTTTGGCATATTAGCTCGTCTCTAACCAGTATTTAACTACTAGTGTTTAGGACAATCTGTTTCAAGATTGATAGAGACGATAGCCTTCAAGTGATCTATTTATTTGGTTACCTCTTTAGAAAAGATAGGGCTTATACCATAAAAACAGAATACTTCGAAGGTGAGACTGAAGAAAAAAGACTTTCCTATCTATCTCTTTGACTGGATTTAGGTGTTGCATTGTTCTCACATAATCCAACCAATAAACTATGTAACTAGAAAATTGTGTTGTAAACCTGATTGAAAAAGAGTAACCTATGGAGTTTCTTGCTCGTTGTTCTCCATAGGAATCTTACACCTTGGAATGAGCAACTAGCTTCACTTCAAAATTTTTGTTGTTGACGTTCAAAAGTGCCATCCTGGTCTAAATGAAATAAATGATTTTGACTTTGACTTTATCCTAAATATCGTCAAGTAAACAATTACACTTAGTCTGTTTGGACCTTCATACAATAAATTGTGACTACGACTACATAATAAAGGTTTATCGTACTGGCAAGAATAATTTTGCATAATCAAACTTTTCCATTATTGCAATAGGTACCGTTGAGTATTTCTATGATTCCAGGTATGCCTATTAAAATAATTGCAGGGCAAAATTAAATTCCTTTTTTATAGATTTTTTTATGGCATAAGCCGGTAAACGAGCAGACGGATCACTTGATGGTAAGCAATCGGCGTAGCCCATGGACACCTGGAACACCAAGTACAAGTGCGTTACCGGCCTTTAGGGGATTAGGAGTTTGAGGATTGATCGTTGGGGATTCAGGAATTGGGGAGATTGGGGAAGGGGAGGGTAATTGGGCTTCCGGTAACCTCACTCACACGACGAAACACAACGCAAACGTTGCTTCACGTCGGTTTTCTGTGAGGCCGTGGTATCACTCCGGTCGAGCCGGTCAATTCGAGCCGAAGCATGGCTCTCCGACACTTAAATAAGATAGAATACAACGGAAAACGAGCAGACGGATCACCTGATGGTAAGCAATCGGCGCCGACCATGGGGGTCCATGGTGAACACCGGAGGTATTTGTACAAGTTTGTTACCGGCTTTTGGGGGATTCGGAATTTCAGTATTGTTGGGGTTTCGGGGATTGAGGAGATTGAGGAGATTGAGGAAAGGGGTAATTGGGTCCCTGATGGTTATTGAAGGTTACACTTGCTTTGTGTTTCGTGTCGTGTTGTTGACGTGCTACATCGTAGACTGCATCATCGCTTACCACCAGGCGAGATAGTCAAAAGTTTTGGGAAGTTGTGACCGGCTTGTCCCATTTAAACAAATCAAACGTCGGCCCAACAAATATAAAAAAATAGACCTAACTAATACCACATGGCCCAACCATTCACAAAACAATCCCACTAACAATACCATAAAATATTATAATAGTTGTTTATCGGGACGTTTATTAGTAGTTCTATTTGACGTGTAACAGGAAGGGAGCGGCCTTGGTTTGATAGCTAATAGTTTGGTTAATAGATATAATTGATATATCCCCTAACTGCTCCAGTTAACTATTGCTGCCGTCATTAATTGTACAGATCATATGTTTATGTATATCTATACAAATAGTAATATTAATACAGAGCTTCTGTTACTGGTTATAAAGGGACTGCACCTTTGCAGGGAAGAGCATAAAATAACTGATAAAAAAAACCCTATCCTAGTGCCATTGAGAAAAAAATCTCAAAAGCCTGAGAACTACAAAATATCCCTATTCGAAGTAACGCGTATTAACTAACTAGTATCTCCTGAGGTAGAAATATATCACTGTCAACAAAGTAAGTCAATATAATTGTGTTTCAAGTAAACATAAGCTAGACGGTGAAGAATAACAATTAGTACGGAAGATAGATAAAATTGATAGTACGTAAATAAGAATAGAACAACATTCAACTGTTAACTGTGCGATGTGCGCTGCGTCGGTTGTATCATATGCTACTCGTAATTACAGAAATCAGTCGAGTAACCTCGTTGAACTAAATTCGTTTAATTTAATAAAGATGTCCAATGAAATCACAGCTGTATGATTTAAGATGACACACTAAATGACTGTTTGACCTCGAATATTCGAAGAAACTGTATTGTTAAGACTTGTCCTAATAAATGGCCGCCATCATACAGCATATGCATAAACATTTAAAATATTAAAGTAAACACTGACTAGACTAGGTTTGGCAAACAAATTGTAAAGCTAGTTCATTAATTCTATTATTATTATTAAACATATTATTTTTACCGTATTTGATCAACTGAAAACATCATTTAAGTATTTCGAAATACTCTTTTTTACGGGATTCATTTTTTAAAGAGGGAACATCATCGAATGACTTCTCCTGCCTAAGTGAAGCGGGAGGGAGTGTCAGACTCTTATTGACTAGAAACCGCCTCGTTCTTTCTCCTGCACTTCGAGCCGGCCCCGTCAACCTGTTAATTCCTCCGCGACTCCGTATGGGCATCAGCCCTATTGGGCCCCATCTGTGGTGGTCTGATGGCTCTTTTGAGGCGCGCGCAGAACGCGACGCACCGTACGCTCGGGTCTGGTTCTGGTCGGGCGGCCAGTTACCCAGTTACAGGTAAGGGATTTGAGGATTGGGACTTCGGCGTTGAGGATTGTGGATTGGGCGTTCGGTAACCTTACTCACAACGCAAGCCAATTAAAATCTGTAGATACTTAAGCGTTCTACGAAACGACCTTCAAGAAAAGAGCGTATTCCTTTTTAAAAGGCCGGCAACGAACCTGTGCCTCTTCTGGTGTTGCAGGTGTCCATGGGCGGCGTTGATCGCTTACCATTAAGTGCTCGTTTGCCTCCTATTCCATAAAAAAAAAGAAATTCTGGACGCAGTGTTATCAAATTATTTGCAAATTGAGGAACTTAATTATATTTTTTCCGTGTTACTAATTTAATTATAACTTTAATTAGTGTTATCTTATTTGGTAAGTAAATAGGTAATTTAAATTGCCTTTTTGCCCATAATATACTTTTTTTCCCAAATGGATTCTAAAGTCAAAAAAAGCAAAATAAAACTACCTGGCCTGGGAATCGTTTAAACACCGTAATTACGCTGTTATAACTGGTAACTATAATTTCTATTATTCTAGTATCTTTTTTATTAAAAAAGAGTATCTATATGCAGTAAGATTTCTATTACGCATCACTACGCCGCATTAGTAACAAAAACTTGTACCAATATAAAATGGCAGCAAAGCTTTATCACAAAAAACGATGTGTATAAAATGGCCATAAATTCTCGATAGTACAATAGGTAGGTATTAATTTCGTAATTAATACGATAAAATTATGTATTGACCACAACACCATGTATGTAGTTGGAATTATTTTCAAATTAATTAGTTCAATTAATAATACCGATAATATCTAATTACCTTGCATGTATATTGCGTCTTTGTTGTAGTGTGGGAGAGCCATGCTTCGGTACGAATGGGCCAACTTGACCGGTGTGATACCACGACCTCACAGAAGACCGACGTGAAACAAGTCTTACGTGGTGTTTTTCGCCGTGTAAATGATATTAGTGAAGGCCTAATTACCCCAATTTTTATCCCATAAAAAAGTAGCCATCAATTTAGCACCCAAAGCCTATGGCAGTACTGCTGGACTAGCTTCCCTACATTAGAGGGTTTAGCATAACCTCCTGTAAGCCAGGATCTACAGTATATACAACCAAGAAAACACCGGAACACTGAAGTCCGTCCCAGGGACATGAATAAACTGTCTTGGTTCCCGCAACGAAGTGAATCAGAAAATATTATAAGAGGAGATGAAAAAAAATACCACCTGCTTCTTAGAAGGGCATAAAATAAGTATAAGACTAGATGACTGACTGCCTCGTTGGCCAACTGATAGGCAAGGGGTCTTGGGTTCGATTCCCGGGTCGGGCAAAGTATAACAGGGTTTTTAAAAAGATTCTCAGTAGTAGCACGGAGTCTGTAATTGTACCCGGTATATAGCATTATGCTCATCCCCTATGATATGGGACTCATAACATAAATAGTGAAAAGTGGCCGTAATGCACCTCTGCCTATCCCTTCGAGGATAAAAGGCGTGATATTATGTTATATTATTTTACAGTATGGAAACGAAAATTCTAGAATTTTTCACATTATCGTAATACAGTATATACATAAAAAAATACCGCTGCACTTTAGTCACTTCCATAAATCATATTTATCGAGGAAAATATTTTCCAAAACATGCGTAACAGGGAATTATATTATCAACAGCTAACAGTTTTTCGTGTAATTTTATCAGTTGTGATGTAAACTTGTAATTAATTCAGGTGTAGGTTGTATGACATGACATTTGTTATCTATATCGCAATCTAATGGTGCATGAAATTCAATATTAAACCTTATCATGTTTTGTTAAAGCGTAGGTACATATACGTAGCGGAGTGAACAATGCATTAACATATTCTGAAAAAAGTGTTGTTAATTAACATCAGTTGGCTTAATTTATTAAATCAAAATTTATAGGAAAAGGTCAGACAGGACAATCTCAAGTCACCATTATTTAGACGACAATAATTTGCATAAATAAAATTAAAAATTTTCTCACACATGAAATAAAACAAAATATGTAAATTATACTTTTAATACTGTTAAAATTCAACAATACGAAACATAAGTAATAAAGACTATACACACAAGAAACTGATCTATAACAAACTATAATCTTAATTCCAAAGAAGAAAATAAGAAATATGAACCTAAAGTTACAATATCAGACTATTTACAAGTAGGTAAATGCAACATCGTAAGTATAATATAAAAGACATTTTGGATACAAAAAAATATGTAATACAAATTGTAAAGTTTTCATCTCAACACTTTTAGGATAATCTTTAAATTCATTTTAATAGTTTAATGAATATTAATGGATATAAAGAATGCAGGCATATCTACGATCCGCATCCTATTTGCTGGCGCACCTCGCGTGCATATACCTATCAAGTGCATCTATCTAACAGCGATCTATATACAACTACATGCTGAAGTAGTATTCAAAAATCTCCTCGACAACACCAGTCATGAAACGTCTAGAAGAATATGGCAAAACTACATTTAATAAATAAGTATAGTGAGAAATCTAGTCCTTATTAAGTACACAATAACTAAACGGAGATCTAACTTGTCATGTCCACTCAACACACTATATCTCTACGGCATCAGGAAACACGTGGTCCAGGTACGCCTGGTGACCATAACTTTGTAATGGCCTGGGCCTCTCTTTCTTCACATTCAAAGTTACGTTCCCAGTGCTACACTTGTTGAACCTCGAAGCTATTTCCCTGACCTTCCCTGGTCGAGGCCGAAACTCTTCTTCAGTATCTTGTTTCTCATTCCCTTCTATATAATCTTCAAAAGACCGCTCCTTCTCTTTTGTGCCTTTCCAGCTGCGATTTGAAGATCTTCTATTGTTTTGAAAATCTTTTTCAAAGCCATCCTGTTTCTTTCTGTCATTGTCCTTCCTTCCAGAATTATTCCTCTCATACATGCGAGAATAATTTTTGGTATCTTTGTGTTCGTTGTATTTTTGTGCATTTTGATTGATTGTATCTGTACTTCTAACTTTACCAAAGTAGGGGTCTTTGGAGTATTCTATATCGTTATTAGTTTTGCAGACATAGTTTTTAGTGTTTTTATCATTACTTTTGTTGGATCTTCTTGCTTTTGGTGGTCCTGGTTTAAAAGTAGTGAATTTATCATAATCATTATTGTTAATTTCATTGGTGATGCTATGGGGGTCGAAGGTGTGAGTTCTTTGGTGGGTTAGCGGCTTCGATAAGGACAAATATTTAGGCGGCTCTCCGTGCTTATTAATCGTTATTTCGTACTGAATGTGCGGATCTAATACCGCATATACATTCTCTTTGGCTTCTCTCTCCAGCGACGATAAAGCTGCCTGTAAAATTAAGAACATTTTGTTAATAATTGAGCAAATGCAATTGTAAGATTATCGTGTGGGCGAGGATGGTTCAAATGGGATATAATGGGATATAAACGATTGGTTTTTTCTAATAGTAAAGTTTTTTTTTTATCATTGTAGTTCTCTTTAATATCGTATCAACATTTCCGGATCAGATGAGTAAGTTGGACCGCCATTGATTGATTGATAGGTAAATTGAAAAGTGTCATCACCGCATTTCCCCTCACACACTGGCCTCAGGTATTGTGGATATGCGATTTATATCTACTCAAAAAGATGGCCGTTCTACCATGCAGGCTATTTTATTAATATTGTAGTGAACAGAACACTTTTTGTTAAAGAACCTACACCTTGTGCGTGAATTGATTAGTTATGTTCGTGTATTCGCACTTTCGATATGATTCTTATAGTATTACACCGCGCTGAAGCGCAAAGTAATGACGTTTTATCGTATTATATATGAATACGTTTTATCGTATTAAGTAAATATCTCCAGTTATTATTTTCATGTGTGATTTTGTCAGTGTTGTGATGTTTTGGGGGTAGAATATAAAATGACAATCATGGTTAATTTTATTCTTAATTAAACGTGCATGTCAAGCAATAACAAACTTTATCGTGCTGTGTTAAGGTATGTTCACACCAAGTAGAATACATGATTTGACTATGAGTGATGATATTGATGGGCACAAATGTGTCCTGCAGCTGTAGCTGTAGTAAAATGGGGTGGATAGGGATCGAGAGGTGAATAGAGACATAAGAGGGGTGAATCGATATTGGGAAATTTTTCATAGTATCAATTCACCCCTTCCTACAGAGGAAGGGGTGAATTGATAGGGACAGCCCTATTCACATCTCGATCCCTATTCACCCCATTTTACCGTTACTTGTAGAATAGAAAACTAAATTATATGGAATTGACGTAATATTTGACACTTGCCAGTGTCATCCCCATACATTTTGATTTCTACTCTCTTACAGAGAGAGAGACAAGCGCTAAAGTGGCGTTTGGCTAAAGGCACTGACTAGATAAGTAAACCTACATCACTATTTTATATAAATTAACTCATCAAGTGATTTCAGAGAAGGCGGAGGCAATAATAGACTAGTGCCTTGCAGTTCTCAACTGGAAGTGAATGAGACTCAAACTAAACTTGTAGCCCTTCGCTAAAAGACATTATTAACGTTGACATTAGTAACTTAAATTCTATAATGAATACTAATAATAAACTACTTGGTGTGAAAAAGGACTTTTCTTCACTCATACACTACACCTCACACACGCACCATAACCAATAATAATCGACTTCTAAAAAAGATAGGTATTCTTTTTTTTATGATTGAGACATTAATGGCTTATTTTATGCGTACTTTTATGTGTTCCCTATAAACAAATAATAAATAAATACTGTAGCGAGATGTCCACTGGGTGCGATTTATCAAAAAGTGAGTTTTATTTGTCACTATTCATTCAAACAAAACCTTAGAGATATTTCTAAAAAGTTTTGCATTAATAATAATATTTTTTACATTTCAAATACCTTAGCTTACTTGCACCAAACATATCTAACAATATAACCCAAAATGAGTCATATTGCCAAAAGACTTGAACATAGAATTCATCAGCCAGTGGACAAGATCTCGAGTAGTGTTAGTATCAGTGCGTCACACCTGTGCGCGGGGGTCACACGGTGGTGGGGGGCTGCAGCACGACGGCGGCGCGGCGCACCTGCAGCGCGGCCGGCGAGTAGCGCGCGCCCGCCGCCGCCCCGCCGCCGCCCGCCGCGATGCCGGCCACGGAGCCCGCGCCCCCACCATCGCCGGCCGGGCCGTCTCGCGCGGCGTGTACACTGCGTCTGCTGGGAGAGCTGCTTTTTCGCTGTAAATCAAACGTTATGTTTTCTTGAGTACATTCGTTTTTATACCGTGAACATTTTACTCTCTCATACTTTTTTGCACAAACTCCACTAAAAATAACATAACATAACATCACACCTTTTATCCTGAAAGGGTAGGCAGAGGTGCACATTACGACACTTTTGCCACAGTACAATGTAACACCCACTCTTCACTATTTATGTTATGAGTCCCATGTAATAGGGGGTGAGCCTATAGCCATCCGGACACAATTTCAGACCCCGTGCTAATGCCAAGAATTTTTTAAAAACCCAGTAAGTAGGTATATGTACTTTACTCGACCCGGGAATCGAACCCGAGACCCCTAGCCTGGTAGTGGCACTTGCGATCGCTCGATCAACGAGGAAGTCTCTACTAAAAATGTCATATAGAAAACTTAAACTTACCTATCTAAATCTTCAGTCTTATATTCGACGCTTTCTGCAAATAAGAATGAAACAACTTATTACAATACAGTCACCAACCACAACAAAACCAAACGAAAATACTTTTTAAACTAATCATAGATCGTATCGTGATACCTCCCCTTCCCCAATCTCCCCAATTCCTGAATCCCCAACGATCCTCAAACTCCTAATCCCCATACGGCCAGTAACGCACTTGTAATGCCTTTGGTGTTCCAGGTATCCACGGGCGACGCCGATTGCTTACCATCAGGTGATCCGTCTGCACGTTTACCGGCTTATGCCATAATAAAATAAAATAAAGGTCCATGTACACTTACCTCGCCGTCTCCGGCACCGGATGATGAGGCACAGCACTATGACCAACAGAGCTGCAATGACAAGCGCGGCCGCGATCAGCGGAGCCACGTGTGCAGTCTCTGTTAGCGAAAAATTATCTGCGTGAACAAAATTATTGGAGGGTTATAAACATGCAGTTTACAGGCAAAAACAGTACAAACAACAAATATGAAAGCCAAAGGATTTTGGCCTCTCAATCTAAGAACGTGTGGTTTATTTTTGTGGGAATGTAAGTTGTGCTACTGTAAGTTTCTAAACAAGACAATAAGCTAAGTAAAAACGCGGGTTAGTCACGTGAATATACTGAGAAAAGCTCTACTAGTTTCGAACCACAGAGGGGTTCTTCCTCATAAGCAGCGTGCGCGGTCGCGGCGACGTCGCGCAGCTCACTGAGTATATTCACGTGAGTAACCCGCGTTTTTACTGAATTTAGTATGTCTCACGATAGTTATTATAAAGACAATAAGCGTTATGAATGAATGAATGTTATGTAAGACAAGTTACTTGTAAGTACAGTATTATAATTTTGGTGCTAATAAAAGGTCGCACACCCAACAAGCACGGCTTCGGCACGGCTCCAACCCAGGATTAACTTGTCATTTAAATATGAACTTTAAAACGTATGTCGTATGAGATCTTTCATAACATCAATATAAAAAACCTGTAATTGCGCCACTGCCTCGTTGTCCGAGTGGTCGCAAGGGGTCTCGGGTTCGATTCCCGGGTCGGGCAAAGTAGAGTCTGGAATTGTGCCCGGTATATAGCAATAGGGTAACCCCCTATTACATGGGACTGATAACATAAATAGTGAAAAGTGGGTGTTACATTGTACAGTGGCATAATGTACACCTCTGCCTACCCCTTCGGGGATAAAAGGCGTGATGTTATGTTATGTTTATAAATGCGCCACCCGCCTTACAGCCTTTTTGTATTGATTCCAAAGCAAAGAACCGGAGCCGTGATTGTTAAGTGTGTAATGATGACTATTAACAGACTTGTGTCTTATACATTATACTTAGAGCAATCTTAGGTAAACTCAGGATACCAGTTACAGAAACATTTGGACAATTCTTAAAGGATTAGAAATGGGAATAGCAAACACTAATATACTCATGCCGTCATGCGTTTGATAAAGTAATATGATGTCTTCTATAATAATTATATTATAATTTGATTTCAGAGTGCCAAGCACGAATAACTATCGTATTCGTAAAGTAATAGTATCGAGCGCGTTCGGCGCTCTGATTGGCCGGGTCAAGTGAACCAACCAATCAGAACTCTTAACTCGCTCGATACTGTTACGATACGAATGCGATAGTTATTCATGCTTGGCACTCTGATCTAACTAGTTAACACAGAAGTACTAATTTGAAGTAAAAATATCGAACTTCCATATCCGTAATATAGAAAACATAATGAATATAAAAAAAAATATTCAACGAAGTACCTACACATCTGTACAAAAACTGGACACACCTTCATAAGAAAATCATCAATTCAAAGACATGGAAATTAGAACTTTACTATAAAGAACTTAAATATCAAATTATTAACTTACCATGTACAGTGAGAGAGACAGCATGAGAGGAGAAACCTCTCTCATTCTCCACGTGTAGGACATAGACTCGAGCGTCCGCGACCCCGGTGTTGGAGATGAGCAACGTGTACCGGTAGCAACCTCCGTCTGTCGCAGGCTCGATGGTGCGGTAGCGACCTGCTCGGTACAGAGGATTTAGGTTTAAGCACTTGTTTTTTTATTTATAAAAAAAAGTTTAAGCGCTAGTGGTTAGAATACGTTCAAGGTTACTAAGTATAAAACTTAAAACTACTTTTCACTAGTTTTCTAACCGGATCAAAAAGCGAAATGCAATGCTGAAGAATAGGATAAGGGCGACCTTAATTAGCATTTTGTTTATTTGTACGTATATTTTACCCAAAGGGCTAAAGTGTTATCCTTATTTTTGGCAAGTACCAAAGTAAAGAACCTACACCATGTACCTATAAAGTCAATGATCTTAAATCCAGCAGTTACACATTATGACCGTTGGACTAATGAGAATTTCCAATGACATGTTAAAGACCACAGAACAAAGAAACTGTACTGTTCTAAAGGAAGCCATACACGCTAGGTTTTGAATGATGGTTTCAGCCGTGCATGCATAACCGACGGGCAAGCCCTAGCGTGTATGTGATTAAACTGTACAGTTATTGGTACATCGGTGTTCGGTTATGCTTGTCGGTTTTGCATGCAAAGTTATAACCATCATGCAAAACCTAGCGTGATGGCCTCCTTATGGCAAGGGGTCTCGGGTTCGATTTCCGGGTCGGGAAAAGTATTACTGGGTTTTTAAAAAATTCTCAGTAGTAGCACGGAGTCTGGAATTGTGCCCGGTATATGGCAATAGGCTCACCCCCTATTACATGGGACTCATTACATAAATAGTGAAAAGTGGATGTTACATTGTACAGTGGCATAATGTGCTCTGTTGTAACCTGCTCTGCTGTAACCTCTGCCTACCCCTTCGGGGATAAAAGGCGTTATGTTATGTTACATACCGATCTGTGATGGCACGTCAAGGCGGAGACTGCCCCAGAGCCAGGCAGCCCGGCGTGGCGGTGGGTCGGCGCAGACGGTGGCGGCCACCCGAGCCTCGTGTCCACTCCACGCGTGCGCTGCGCCTGTATCTGCGCCGACCGGCGGACCCAGCACATTCAGTGTCACAGCTTCGGATTGATGACTCCTGTAAAAAACGTAGGAATGTGTGAATGATCATTGCAAATTTCGGGGTGTATTTTGGAAGGTTGGTCAACTTTATCAGTTTCATCAAATATACCAGATCCATCTAATCTGTCAGTTTCCTACCCTACTATAAACTTAATCGGAAAACTATCTAATAATAATGGGTGCTCCTATTATCAATAGATATCTTCTGGTCCTTAAGTTTCCTAAATATGTATTCATCAAATGCATTTTGTTGCCATAATTATTTTTTTACCTTCACAACCACTACTTACATTATAAAAATGATCAGATGTGTATTACCTGTCTTCAAGTCCTATCTGATTGGTAGCCACGCAGGTGTACCGTCCGTGCTGGTCGTATGACACATTGTGCAGTTGAAGTTGTGGCGTCATGGAGATCGGGTAGGCGCCATCTTGCAGAGAGTTGATGCGAGCTGACGATGCTGGACTGAAATTAGTAAGATCATAAGTGAGCAATGATATATAGAAATAAGACCATTATGAACAATCATTTCCAATAAAATTTTTCGGAGTCTCTTATAAGTGTTCGGTATTTTTTTGTGACTGCTTATTAAAAAGGCAATACTGTGATCAAAATTCTCTGGATATTCTAATATCTTATTTATGTTTGTTGCTTTTTGGAACCTTTTCTAATGCCGGAATACTGAAACGTTACTCAATTTTAAGTCGTGCTCAAATATCGTGCCATCACTGTCATTTTACAAAGAGTTTGTAGAGATAGAACTAGAGGTATACTTAAGCACGACTTAAAATTGAGTAGCGTTTCAGTATTCCGACATAAGACATTTTTGTACCGAAGAGTGGAAGACGGCTTTGATTTCAGGAAGGCAGAATCCTTCATCGTTTCTTTTTTCACATTAAATAAAGTGAAGTATCTCACCTATGATACCAGGTATACGACGGAGGAGGATTGCCCTCAGCTTTGCATTCCAGAGTGACTTGAGAGAATAGGTTCGCTTCCACTACCGTATCAGGTCCTATCCACGACACTCGTGGCGGATCTGGAAAAATAATCAATTAAGATTTATGCAAGGTCTTTGATAAATAGAAGTCTTCTGACTTCTTATTACTACATATTATAAAACAAAGTCGCTATCAGCCGTCTGTCTGTCCCTATGTATAATTAGATTTTTAAAACTATGCAACGGATTTTGATGCATTTTTGTTAATAGGCAGAGTGAGTCTTATGGAAGGTTTATATGCATAATGCATGCATATTCCCGAACGAAGCCGGGGCGGGTCGCTAGTAAGAAAATAAATGTTGTAGGGGATTAAGTTAAGTAAATAAGTCTAAACTTACATTTAATGTCGATTTCAATCTTGACTGAATCCGAAGTTCCCAATGAGTTTCTTGCCTGACAGCCGTAGATGCCTAAAAAAATTTAGAGGAAAATTAAAATTTCAAAATACGTAGTTAAAAAATGAGGAATAAAAATTGATTTTCCTCGAAGATAGAGTACGATGCCATTTCAAAATTCATTGTAACAATGCAGCTGTGTCTTTTGTAACAAATAACATAACATCACGTCATTTATCTTCGAATAAGTTGGCAGAGGTACATATTACGGAACTTGTATTTATATTACAATGTAACACCCACTTTTCACTATTTATGTTATGAGTCCCATGTAATAGAGGGTGAGTCTATTGCCATATACCGGGCACAATTCCAGACACCGTGCTACCTCTGAGATTTTTAAAAAACCCAGTAATACTTTGCCCGACCCGGGAATCGAACCCGAAACCCATTGCCCGGCAGTCGCACTTGCGACCACTAGACCAACGAGGCAGTTGTATATATATATATTTGGAACCTAATTGATATAAGTATTATAGGAAGTATCCTTACTAATATTATAAATCGGAAAGTGCGTTTGTTTGTTTGTTTGTTCCGCTTTCACGCCGTAACTACTAAACCGATTGCTTTGAATTTTTACAGACGTAAAGTTAGAAGTCCGGATTAAATAATAGGGTACTTTTTATCCCGGAAAAATGTGATATTCCCGAGGGAAAACAAAAGTATTTGTATAGATGGCGGTGTATGTTGGTATATGTCACATAGGCTTCTCTTTATCCTTTTATGACGTGAGCGGAGCCGCGGGAAAAACCTACTAATTATATAAACACAAATGACTCACCAGAATGATTCCTAGACACGGGTGCCAGTATCAATTTAGCTCCATTCGTAGCAATGACTTGCCCGTTCTTGGTCCACCAGACGTAAGGACTTGGGTTACCATCAGCTCGACACTCCAAAGTTAGGGCACTGGAACCTTCCTCCAAGTTCGCTAAAGTGCTGGCATCACCACCAACTATGGAAACTACTGGAACGACTGGAAAAAGAGATATTCTGGCTTAGAAACTGAAACCTCATCAAATATGAAATGTAATGTTTACGAGACCAAACTAACAATCGAATCGAGTTAATTTTTAAAGAAAATGGGAAATGGATTAATATTCCATTACCTATATTGTGGACATTCTTATTACCCTACAGCAATCGTAGCTTTTTTTTAGTGGAGAAAATCATCCAATGGTTTCTCCAGCCTAACGGGTTACCGGGGCTCCGGCTCGAAGAGCAGAAGTAGGAACGGGGTGGTTTTAGTCAGCAATTGTGACTCCTTAAGCCAATTTCACAACTTGGAATTGGAAATATTGTTTAGGACTAAAGAAGCCACTAAATCAGCTCGATCGATAAGATTAAGATCTATACGACAACACAGTGCAGTGGCTGGGCAACCGGCTGTCACGCAACGTGTCGCGGGTTCGATTCCCGCACGGAGCAACTCTTTGTGTGATCCACAAATTGTTGTTCCGGATTTTGGTGTCATGTGTATTTGAATTTGTATGTTTGTAAACGCACCAACGACACAGGTGAAAAGCCTATTGTGGGGCAATGTTCAATTAAAAAAAATACAAAATTGTAACAGGAGTCCAATTTAACTAAAAATTATTTATTCTACCATGTCACCAATCTAAAAGACTGTTTCCTTATTCTTTCCAAGGCAGCTTGCAGCTAATGCATATTGCAATTTATCTACTCGTCTATCTTCCAGCCACATGCAAACACCGACATAAATAAAGTCGTGTCTTCAGTAGCTAGGACCAAGTCAGTACCAACTGATATTTACGAGATGTGAGTTTACTTCCAAACTAACAAGATAGGAGTAATCCAGTAAAGCACTAGATTTAAATACTTAATGAGAAAACTCTCTTTGCCTTAACTAGCTTTTTTCATGACTATTTTGGTTATTTTTAAAGGTCTTTTAAGATGTAGTTTTTGTTTAAGCAATGCTAATACTACCTTAAAACATATTCCAAGTTATTATTTAGTAAGACTAGCTTTATGAGCAGTTGTCATAAGAAAATCCAAGAGAGTCTTAAATAATAGTTAAGACACCTTTTAATTGATAATGATGAAGTTTAATAAATCCTCTTTTCATTTCTTTACGATAGATAAAGTGTGGGAGAGCCATGCTTCGGCACGAATGGGCCGGCTCGACCGGAGTGATACCACGGCCTCACAGAAAGCCGACGTAAAACAACGCTTGCGTTGTGTATCGTCGTGTGAGTGAGGAGGCCTAATTACCACTTCCCCAATCTCCCCAATTCCTGAATCCCCAACGATCCTAAAACTCCTAAACCCCAAAAGGCCGGTAACGCACTTGTAACGCCTTTTATGTACCAGTTGTCCATGGGCGACGCCGATTGCTTACCATTAGGTGATCCGTCGGCTCGTTTACCGGCTTATGCCATAAAAAATTTTGCTATTGTGCTCTACAGAAATATATTCTAGAAACATGAAACTTCACCGCAGATCTGTATTCATAGCTAAGTTAAAACTTGGGATAGATACAGATAGTGTATTACCGAGTAATCTATGCTAACCCGATCAAAACTTCATCGGAGTCAGACCTCGCGATACCTTTCACGATTGGTTCTCCGAAATACTATTTGCACGTGATCGGGCAACAGATACGTATTACGATACAATTCCTCTTTGGTCCAGTGTTCTTGTAAGGTAGATCTAAGCTGGAATGGATAAAGCATAACGTAACATCATGCCTTTTGTTCCCGAAAGGGTAGGCAAAGGTGCATATTATGGCACTTAAAGACACTATTCAATGTAACACCCACTTTTCACTATTTATTTATGAGTTCCATGTAATAGGTGCTGAGCCTATTGCCATTTACCGGGCACAATTCCCGACTCCGTGACTTTACTACTGAGATTTTTAAAAACCCAGTAATACTTTGCTCGACCCGGGAATCGAACCCGAGACCCCTTGTTTGGCAGTCGCACTTGCGACCACTCGGCCACCTAGGCAGTCTATAGCGTATAGTGGAGAAAGCAATGGGTGAATGATCCATAACACCAGCTGTAATTTAAGTTCCAGAAGAACATAAAATTCACTCTTAAACAGTTTGTAATGCTATTCTAGGCCTTACTAAATCTGATTCAATTCTATCTAACAGTGTGATTACCACATTCAAATATTCAAGCTAGTTTCAAACATTCACCCCTCATTACACAAGAGATAGTCCGTACCAACACAAAGGCACGGAACACATCTATTAAAGCAAATAGGTGCCAACATTCCGATAAAGGATCTATTTATGAGTGCAAATGGTTTTCTGACTAAAACGATGCTGGTCACTAATTGCTTATTGATTCTGTTCTATTCTCTGTGTTCCGATCGTTCTGTAAACATAAATGGAACAAGTGGCTATTTAGTTATATTATGAAGCCGGAAAATAATAGCGTTCCATTATAGGTGAAAATAATGCGTTTATGAACGAAGAGAGTATTGAAGAAAGAAAGAATAGAAAGTCAGAAATATAAAAAAAATTGTCCAATAGACGTAGGATTTAACTTTGATTTTTCAAAAGTTTCTGTCCACCAGTTTAAAAAGGTAAACATTACATAGTTACCCCATGACAGTCCACAACCGGACTATGAGTCTCCACAACATACAAGGGTTAACCATAGGTAATTTCCACCCTCGGCAGGCGGAGATCTTAAAGGAATAATGAAGAGACATGTTTATTGTTTATCTTAAATACTTACAAGTAACATCCAGCATAGTATACGAGTCCCTGTAGTATGGAGATGGGTACGACGGATGATGAGCTCTGCAGGCCAGCTGGCGCCCATGTGCAGACCTTGTGGCTCCAAGCTCCAGCACCGACCGAGCTGCCCACACCCGCGGCCGCTCCACTTCCGAAGCATTTGTCTGAGACCATGCTGTTAGACGTTCTTTTTCTGTAAATTAGAAAATAATAATTATAATAATATGAAATAAGTTACCTAGGAAAGAACCAAGCAGATGTGAACAATTGATAAAAGAAAACTGTTAATTGTTTTTAAACTACTTTTGAATACTTAAGTATCGTATGTTAAGTTTTCCATGACCTTAAATTAAGTTATGCATTGAACAGGCCTAACCTTTTTTCAATTGGTCAATTGAAATAATTCTATATAACTATGTATAATCCACGGTTCGTGCGGTGGCTGGGCAAGTGGCTGCCGTGCAACGAGTCGCGGATCCGATTCCCGCACAGAACAACTCTTTATATGATCCACAGATTGTTGTGTCTATAGGTCCGGGTATTATGTGTATGTGAAATTGTCTGTTTGTAAACGCACCCGTGACACAGGAAAAAGTCCTAAATTGAGGCAACGTTATTGAAAAATATTGAGTACCTATATCATTTACTTTACATACACAAAGTAGTCTCCACCAAACAAAACAATAATATAATTTTTACGTTGCCGGTAAAAAGCTCTTTCATATTTAACATCAATCATTTGCTATGTTATGGTAAATCAAATAATTTGTAGTATTGACAAGGTGTCGACCAAAAGACAAATGAATACTACACACGCTATCATAAGTAGAAATTATCAATTAACAGTAATACTAATGTAATATTTGATGACTTTTATTGACACTATGTATGTGTGGTTTTACATTATTTATTGGATTTTATTACATCAAATGAATTACATATTTGTTTTTTCATTAGATCTATGGTATTACATTTTTATGTCAAGTTAAAGTCAAAATGTAATTCGTGAATGTAACGACAAACAATATTGTTATTAATGGGACGTCAACATGTAATAGTTTTTTTCTAATGTTATAAGTGTCTATTTGATTGATTTTGGTATGTGTGGAAATGTAAGTTATTGACAGCTGTCTAGTCGAATTTCAAATTATGTGATTGATTATTCGTTTGACTTTATGTCGAACTTTTGATTTAGCAAGCTGTACAGTCAGAATTTTGTAATAAGAATATTTAATTAGCACGTCATTATTTTAAATCCAATTTATTATACCTATCCCATAAATACCATAAAAGATGGAGTGTCCGCAGTGTACTTTCTACTATACTAACATAGAAACAATCAACAATGTATCTAAAAAGCCACAATCATTGAACCAATATATTATTCTATTACCCAACCCTACATTTATAGAGTCAATCAATTTTATAACTTCAATCTCAGCCCATTACATGATAGAACCTCATTACAGATAAATAGATGCGTCATTATGTAATTACAGGTTTACAACCACTGCCTTGTTGGTCGAGTGGTCAGTCGAGTAAGGAATCTCGGAGTTGAAGTCCCGGATCGAGCGAAATAATAATTATTAGATATTTTCGAAAATTTTTCATCCTTATTTGGAATTCTAGAATTCTCGGTGTTTATATGGGAATGGACTCATCAATTATTATATGAGACTGAATTCACAACTGCTGAAAAGTATGTGTTTTATTATAATTACTAGCTTTTACCAGCGGCTTCGCTCGCGTCACAAAAGGAAAAAAAAGTAGCCTGTGATATAATAATATACCAAGACACACAGCGCCATCTATACCAATACTTTTATTTTCCCTCGGGAATATCAATTTTTTTTCGGGATAAAAAGTACCCTATTATTTAATCCGGACTTTTAACTTTACGTCTGCAAAATTTCAAAGCAATCGATTTAGTAGTTACGGCGTGAAAGCGGAACAAACAAACAAACAAACTCACTTTCCGATTTATAATATTAGTAAGGATGCATGTCTGTTTACTCCTTTGGGGATTAAAATTCGTGACGCCACCTGTGTATGTATGTGTATGTTGATACGTCATTATGTAATTACAGCCAACGATAGCCAAGACCAATGCAGTGTACACGGACGCGACGTCGATCACTGACAGTGAAGCCTCTTCTAAAATGCATGGCGCTTTGTAGGTCGTGGCTTTAGTTCAAACACAACGACATGCCATTTAGAATATTATATGAACGTATCGGTTTAATTAAGTACTGGATTACTGCTTGTTTCGTTCGTTCACCCTTTTTTTGTTTGGTTAAAGCGGCACACTTTGTAAAGAAGGATTACGTAGAAGTGTTTTAGAATATCAATGAGATTCACCCATTTTACACCAAACAAAGTTTTATGGTATGCGGCATTTGATGGCTCTTCTTCTCCTAATGCTGTTTTTCTAAATCTCATAATTACGTTCAGGGTAGTTGCAATAGAGAACTCTATATTAAGGTAATAAGCTACAATATAGTCATATACTCACCCAAATACCACTCGATATAAGCAGGAGGGTTGCCATATCTGGCTTCGCAGACGACGGTGGCCCTGTTTCCAGCTGGCACCGTGATGTTTTGACCTGGCATCACGTGGGAGCCGTTGAACAGGATCCGAGGAGATTGTGGTGGTACCCGGACTGCTAAAGCTGCTGGTGGACTTGAGAGGGCATCCTGGGAATGATGTGTATGATAATTAAATAAAATAGAGGCATATAGGCAAAATGTAAGTTTGTAAACTACCGAACGGCTACTTCAATAAAGTTGTTGTTTCTTTAAATAAGGATTAAGTAGGTATATGAAATATAAGCCATACAGAGGCTGACTAGTTACATAACGTAACATCACGCCTTTTATCCCCAAAGGGGTAGGCAGAGGTGCACACAGAAGTTACACCAACTTTTCACTATTTATGTTATGAGTCCCATGTAATAGGGGGTGAGCCTATTGCCATATACCGGGCACATTTCCAGACTCCGTGCTATACAGATTAAAAAAAAACCCAGTAATATGACCTGACTAGTTACGAATATATAATAGGTATGTATATTATTAGGTATTTTCATTTCATACCTTGTATAAAATATTTTCACAAGAATTTTCAATGACACCAAGATTTAAGGATTTTCTTGAGACCAATAAAAATATATTCATGGTACCATGAATGCTAACCTCTGCAATTTCAAAGGGTATTTCAAGTAAAAGAAGAAATACTGCCTCGTACGACTGGTACGACGGGACTAATTTCTTTAAAGTTTTCAAAGTTCAATTGAGCTAGGCTATCTATCTGTCCTAGCTAGAAAATGTTTGTTCTAGAAAACTAATGCAGCAAATGTTTTTAGGAAAAGATACCTTCAAGGAATGGTCGGGTAATATAATTTTTACCTACTATAGGGATGATGACAGGGTATGAAAATTAAAAATCTTATTAGTCCGTCAGTTAGGTAATGAAAAAATATTAGACACGTATTTTTTTATTTTGATGTATAATAAAATGATACTTAGATAAACCGAATAAATGTTTAGGAGTGGGGGCTAAAACGTCATTTCTACAAACAAAATGCACATAGAAGTGACGTTACGCGACATTTCAAATCAATATATCGTCGAATGTATTCGTTTCTGTAAAAAAATAAAAAATACGAGTGTAATGTTTGAAAATAATCTACCAGACGGACATTAAAATAAAAATTAGTCATCTACCCTATTATTGTCTAGACACACTGAAATTATACAGTTCAAGTTCTACATGTGTTATTTTTAATGATCGGTTTCAATCATGTTAAAGACGAAGGAAATGTGTCATATTTAACGCAGTATGATTTAATGGATGTACATTTCAAAATTGACTAAGTAAAACCTTCATGAAAGAAAAACACAGGAATACATTCTTTATCTATATTCATGGTACGTATCATAAACTAGCTTCTCTTGCGCGGTTTCACCTGCTGCGCGGCTCCTACTCATATAGTGTGATGTTCTATAGCTTATATTGCCTTCTTTGATTAATAAATGGACTACTTCCTTATTTAACATAAAAATAATTTATTAAATTCGAATCAATAGTTCAAACTAACAAGCTTAACTAATAGTAATGGTATACTCACGTAAACATACTGAGAAAAGCTCTACTAGTTTCGACTCATAGAGGGACTCTTCCTTATGAACAACGTTATTTCTAGGCAATTTACTGTCTCACGATAGTTACTATGAAAAAAACGTACATGGAAATAGGTATAGATACATTTCCTTCATAATATTACCTGCACATCATAATTGCTGGCTGTCACTTGGCACTGCCACTGTCCGTCATCAAGCTGCAGCGTGGCAGCTCGCACCCAGAGCGAGCAGTCACCCCCTACTGGACTGTTCTCGTTGGCCCACTCGTACTTTCCTCGATATATTCCCACTGGCTGTAACAAGACAAATATTTCTATTAGCAACACTGCTCAAAATTGTACCGGATAAGGACCAGTAAAATCTTACTTGTACCAGTTAAATCTTGAATATCTAAAGATAACATAATATAGGGGTGAAAACCCTGACGTGGTTTGCAGAAGGGATATCTATTCACACCACATGCCAGCACTTCAAACCAGAAGATTACATGGTAAATGTAAATTGTAAAGCCTCCTTTTCACCACTGTTATTATGAGTCTCATACAAGATTATTGTCGCATACCGAACATATGGTCTCACTTCGTGATAGTGAACAGAAAATTTCGACAATTATTTATTTACACGTCCTCGCATATAATACTATGACTGAACTAACGCGGCAATTTGTAATTTCAAACATCTATTACACAACATAACATCACGCGTTTTATCCCGGAAGTGGTAAGCAGAGGTGCACATTACGGCACTTAATGCCACAATGTAACACCACTTTTCACTATATAGTTATGAGTCCCATGTAACACGGGGTAAGTCTATTGCCATATACTAGGCACAATTCCAGACTCTGTGCTTGTACTGAGTTTGAACACCCTGCTACTGAAGTTCAAAAATCTATTATTATAGTTTTAACGTGAAAAATTATTAAGCTAAAATGATTAAAGTTGGTCAAAAAGAGAGGCGCACAAACTTTACCGTTTATAACTGTAGTAGTGAGTCTATTTGGGAAGCATTGGGAAGAGCACACCGATGGCAGCCGGCGATTGTTTTCCCAAGTTCCTTTTTGTTTCAGTTAGGCCCCAGTTGTCGTACGAATATTTTCGTTTGAACCGAAATTTCGATTGAAACTATGCAATGCAGATGAAGGTTCTAGAGTAAGGAAGGAATTTCTTTGCTAAACACAATATCGTAAAATATTATTACCCCCGTTCACTGATAGATGGCAAAAGTAACAAACAATACTTAAAGTCGATTTATTGACACAATCCTTACTAATATTAATCAGAAAGTGAGTTTGTTTGTTTGTTCCGACTTCACGCCGTAACTACTCAACTGATTGCTTTGAATTTTTGCAGACGTAAAGTTAGAAGTCCGGATTAAATAATAGGGTACTTTTTAACCCGGAAAAAAAATGATATTCCCGAGGAAAAACAAAAGTATTGGTATAGATGGCGCTGTGTATATTGGTATATGTCACATAGGCTACTTTTTATTCTTTTGTAACTCGAGCGAAGCCGCGGGTAAAAGCTAGTATACTATAAAACTCAGTACAAAACGTAACACTGATCTAACATATCATTGATGTTTGCGATACATTGTCTTTGATAGTCGATATCAAGCTATATTTAACTTCTCTGATCCCCTAGCGTCCGTAAAAACTGTAACTAAACGAAGGTACAAAATCCACATCGACCGAAAACATTGCGAAAACTATATAATTGATGAAAGTAAAAACAAGTTAGAAATGTTCGTTAGAAATCCAATTATATTTAGATCCAACTTTCATAATTGTTCAAAGAGATTACGTTGATTAGTTTATCTCAAATTATTAGTCTCATCGTACCTGCATATATCTTTATCTTTATATATTTATAATTCTGCTGTACGTGTGTATGTCATTGAACACCTCCTAAACGGCTTGACCGATTTAAATGATTTTTTCTGTATGCTAATGAGTGGCGCGCTGGATGGTTTAGATTCAGCTCGGCAGATGGCGCTGCAGTCAATATCTAGGTTATTCATCTATACCTATTATTATTATATTATATGCGGGACAACGTCCGTCGGGTCCGCTAGTATATATATACATACCTACACTTTCTTTTAAATTAAATACGTAACATCACGCCTTTTATCCTCGAAGGGGTAGGCAGAGATGCATATTACGACACTTAATGTCACTGTACAATGTAACACCCACTTTTCACTATTTATATTATTAGTCCCATGTAACAGGGGGTGAGCCTATTGCCATGTACCGGATACAATGCCAGACTCCGTGCTACTACTGAGTTTATTTTTAAACCCAGTAATACTTTGTTCTTTGTCTTTTAAATTAGGTACTAGGTAAGTACTACTAATATTATAAATTCGATAGTATGTACGTTTGTTTTTTACTCCTTCACGTCAGAACGGCTGCAGGAATCTAGTTGAAATTTGGAGCAGCGATAGATTAAAGTCTGACATAAAACATGGACTACTTTTTATCCTACGGGCACGCGAGCGAAGTCGCTAGCTGAAGCTAGTTTATTACACCATCATAACGCCGCCACAAATTCACTGCTGAACTAATGGACCTCCTCTTCATAAGAGGGTTTGCCAAAATACCAATTTGCAAGATCCTAATATCGTGAGAAAAAATAACCGAACCACTTCTCAATTGCTGTTTAAAAACAGTCAATCAATTTAAACATAACAATACCAATTTAGTAGTTGAAGTTTAATGAGTATCGTCATAAATAGAAGTGAATTAGAACGTGTATAATGTTATTTTTTATGTTAAGCTCTGTTATTATATTCATTTATCAAATTACATTATGAATATAATGTCTAAGTTTAATATAATTGTCGAATATTACTACAAGTATTGGTTCATGTTTGTTCATATACAGATCAGAAAAAAAAAGATTTTAAACTAGGTTTCTCGGTCGAGTTATTTCTAGATCTACTTCCTAGTTAGAAATTTATTAGCTAGGATTAAACTTCTATGTTATGTGACGATTTACCGTTTTCAAAATATAGAGGCGTCAGTTTTTCATAATAATGAATTTAAATATCGTGGTGGCCCGGAGGTTCGAACCCTACCAATGAGCCTTTGCGAGTCATAAGTACTATCTAAAATTATCTAGACACCACTGAAAACCGGTGAAGGAAAACATTGTGAGGAAACCTGGGCTAATCATACGTTCAAAGTCGCTAAACCGCAATGAGCAAGCGTGGTGATTAATGCGCAAACCTTCTTCGTGTGAGAAAAGGCCTTTGGTCGGCAGTAGCCACTTGGTTGTTGATGATGTTGAATTTTTCACAGGCCATATATGTGTACTTAAAACGTCATAACATACCTAACAAAAAGTGTTACTTAAACCGTGTACCTCTGCTTTCCCCTTCGAAGAATACAAGGCGTGATATTATACTCTACATATTGATTTACAAACATGGTCTGTTAAGACTCGGGCAATGAATGAAGATCTTTAATTCAAAATATAAAAAACAGGAAATAGGGGAATAGAGGGCATAGAGATCGCTTTGTATAGGGATTATTATAGAATTAATAAATACTGCTTGCTTGAATAAAGTACTTAATGAGTTTTATAAACGTGTGCTATATATCAAAATAACATCACTTTGTAACAGTGAGTACCTATGTATTATGTTGTTATGAACAAAATGTGAAATCAAAGTCAAAGCATTTTAATTAACCCTAAATTAACCACTTTGGAAATTAAAAAAATTGTGAAGCATGGCGCTTTTTCCACAGTGTCAAAACACACGCCATTAATAACATGTACAATGTAAATACATACGCCTTTCTCTAGTCTATCTATCTATATAAATAAAAATGGATTTTCGTTCGTTAGTCTCGCTAAAACTCGAGAACGGCTGAACCGATTTGGCTAATTTTGATCTTGAAATGTTCGCGGAAGTCCAGGGAAAGTTTAAAAGGTGAAACAAAAAAAATGTAAAAATGTAGGCGGTACAAGGTTTGCCGGGTTACCTAGTTTTTTTTTTATAAATAAGCCGTTCTAAGTTCGTCAATTTTTTAATTAGGCAAAGCATAAGACGAGATTCTTACTGTCTCGTCAATTATATAACAATAAGGATCATCCTCATTGAAATTAGACCCCAATATCATGCCAATAATATCTTTTGAAGACACCTTTGTGAATAAAAACCGTAATAATTTTTTTTTTTAAGTATATTTGAAGGGGCGACGTTTCACTACTGTCACCACTACTATTTAGATAGGTACTTAAAGTATTGAAACTTGACTAAAATCATCACCAATGGCGTCAGTTGCAAAATATAGATTGAAAAAATAAAGTATTTGGGCATAGTTCCAAGTAATTGTACAGTTATAGGCCTATGTTGCGTTTTATTGGCGACTGTACAAATTAACAATGTGCACCAAGCCGTTGTACAAAATCGATTATAGTTTACTTAATTTATTTTTATTTTTCTCTTGTGACTTATTACGCTTATAAAACCTAGTTTTAACCGATTTCCCAAAAAATCATTAAATATTATGAGTAGGAAGTTTTTATGAAATAACTTTTTTTCACTTTTTACGTAGATAATATTTACATTTAAAACTATGAAACTTAAAAACTAACAAAGGAAATTAAATTAAATAAAAAAAGAGGAAACAATATATCGAGGAGTTCATGCATTTCCTGATTATAATTATAGTGAAATGTTCTCCTGGTGCTGTCTTTTTAAAACATAAAAATCATGTTGTAGTACAATTACTTTGTCGCGGAGAACCTAACGGGTTACCGGGGCTCCGGCTCGACATGCAGGAGAAGGAACGGGGTGGTTTTTAGTCAGTAAGAGTCTGACACTCCCTCTCGCCTCACCCAGACGGGAGCAGTCATTCGATGATTATCCCCCCTTAAAAAAAAGTACAATTACTTTCAATTATACGTTTTGTGTCAGTCGTCAGAAACTAAAAAGTTTTGCATATCTATACCTACAGGCTACAATTCTACAGACTTTTGTCTTCAACTTCACACATGCATCAAAATGTCTGTCAGTCACTCACTCAAATTCTTTACTGCCAGTAACTGAGTGACTGACTCAGTTTTCAGTTTATGTAGGTATAAACTGTGTATAAAATGTGGTGGTGGCCCGGAGGTTTAAGACGCCCGTTTCTCATGAATGAGGGTGCCGGGTCGAAACCTACCAACGGCAAGTACCAATGTGACTTTTCCGAGTTATATGTACTTTCTAAGATTATTTAGACACCACTGACAAACGGTGAACGAAAACTAAAGAATTTGAATTTGAACCTGGATTTATAATTTCTAATTATAAGTTTGAAATCGCCAACCCGCATTGAGCAAGCGTGGTGATTAATGCTCAAACCTTCTCCGCGTGAGAAGAGGTTTTGTTCAGCAGTGGGCATTTAATGGCTGTTGATGATGAGGTATAAACTGCAGTTTACACTATTTTAATAATATTATGTAACTACATTATTACACACTGTTAAAATAACAACTACAGTTGAAAATAAAGCAAAATGTAAGTTATCCTTTTAAAATTTTCTTTCTCCCGTCAATCATAATTGTAATTGAAACGTCTGTAGCAGTATGCAGACAGTAAAATATCATTTCATTTTAAAATATCAAGTATTAATTAATAATATCGTTAATTGGTTAAATTTTTGGTTGATGTTACAGCATGTAATTAAGACTTAACTTTGCAATTTATATTGTTGATGAAATTGCTGTGAGAAGAGAATATTTATTTTCAAAATAACAACATTACCAGAATCATGCATTGTAATTCCTGAGAGGATGGGCGGATAGGTACCTACATGTTTTATACCATATACAATTATGCAATGTAACACCCATTTTTCTCCAGGGAATTATTTCTATGGAACTCAATTAAGTACAATTTCAGACTTACTCAAAAATAATTATATAGTCGAAAATAATTTTCTCGATCCGGGAAATGAACAAGAACATGAAACTAGTCTATTAAAGATTTTTATTACTTTACTTATTTTTATTGTTACTATTTTCATTCACTAGCGTAGATATATATTTAATGACCATAGACTACAAGTATCTACCTGCATTTAGTCTATGATCAATTACCTATAGCACCTTTTTCATTATATTTTTCCCGTTTTAATAATAATAATAAGTATCTGTGTCAGTTCTTCCGCATTTCGTTGCCATAGAGAAGGTGAATTCATTATATTTTTGTACCTTTTACTGTCGTCGGGTCGTTACTAAGCGAAATTGAAAGTACATAGTTAGGTAGTTCATTTTACTCGTGTTTTCATGTTTCGAAAAGAACTTGAATAAATTGGATGCTGTTTTATTTTTTAATATAGAAACTTGTCACTTTAGATATCTATTTTCGTATGATAACAAGAATTGTAATATGAACATCTAATCGTCTCATAAGTCTAGAAGAAAGAAAGAAAGAAACTATCTTCTAATTCTTTCACTGTTTTAAACAAAAATATACTGAATGAAATAATCAAACCCAACTTTATAATTAAACTCAAAACAGCAATGCCAACATGAAAATAAATTAACTTACAACTAATATCTAAACCCCGAAACAATCTGTAGTTCACAAGTAAATTATAGCGCGAATAAACTATTGTAGGTATGAATTAATTTCGAGCCGAGTGGACAATCCAAAACCGACCCTTTACGGGTCAAGTAACTCAAAGAACAGGGGCTAACAATTCAGTGCCTATCTACATTCAAAGATACCTATGTCAAGACCAAAATGAATAGTTCGGGAATCGTAAATACCGAGGTCGTTTATTTGACTTCAACCACAAGTAATGTCCATTGAAAACTGGCGTTTCCTTCGTCTGAGAACCCCTTTTTAACGAGCCCAAACGTTATTGGAAAATATATCTGTGCGGACTCAAAATTATTAGGATAGTTCCATGTCTGAACTAAATGGTCGAACCGTAATTAGATTTCTGTTTTGTAGGAAATTAAAGTCATTTTGTAACAGTTTTTTTTTTAAGGGGGAAAAATCATCGAATGTCTGCTCCCGCCTGTGTGAGGCGGGAGGGAGTGTCAGACTCTTACTGACTAAAAACCACCTCGTGCCTTCTCCTGCACATCGAGCTGGAGCCCTGGTTACCCGTTAGGTTCTCCGCGACTCCGAATCGGCATCGGCCCTGTTGGGCCCCATCTGTGGTGGTCTGATGGCTCTTAGAGCCATACGCTCGGGTCTGTTTCTGGTCGGACGGGGAGCCACCCATGCTCGCCGTCCGCAGGCCCGCGCTTACGGTGGCCGGAGATCGTATTTTGTTACAGTTTAGACCCTTAAAAACTGACTTTAATCTAAATAATGGCACATTGTCTACATAAAAAATTGAATACCTCCCTAGCCAAATCATGTAAATTTACACTAACCGTAAATTTCACTTAAAGCGATGCAATGCAGATCGTCTGGTTCGATAATCGAGTGACTTGATTGAATTTATTTTAATAAATCGATATCATTTTGACTTGCACATTAGGTTTGGAGTTCAGTGTTGAGTAAATGACAAAAGCTATAGAACCTACTTGATTATATCGTGTCTGAAAACCAGTTAAACCGAAGATCTCCAAGTGAACATGAAAGAAAGGTAATAAATACAGTTATAGCAATTTAAAAGTCGCCATCAGTTGCCCGAATGTGACTTAAACTAATGGAAATCTCAAACAACTTATAGGAGAAGGGAAGCAAAAGGAATAATACTCCACAAATAAGCATGTACAAAGCAGCCATTGAAATAGCTTCCACTATTACTGGCAACTCACAAAGCTAAAGAAAATTGTACATTATATACCGATTATCTTTTATCTTAACAATTTTCTTTTCCTTATGTCTTTATTACTTGTTTCTCGGTCCCAAATGATTCCAGAGATATCAGTGTCGAGTTATTATGTGCAAATATTGGGCCAAAGAATTCCAATTACGAGTCGACCGGAGTCGTACGATGATTGTTATAATTTCTGATGTTCGAATTTTATACTCGGGCGAGACTGGCACGGATGGAATATTTTTCGTATAATTTCTGAGCCGAGCTCGGCAGAAATTCACTGTCAGTAGCGAATAAATAAGGTTCTTGATAAGCTTAGTTACGAGGTGAGGTTTTGTAAGGCTGACTACGTTAAAGCCGTACAGACAAACCGCTCTTTAGACAGCGTTGTCGCGGTTGGTTTGTGAATTAGTGATTATTAACAAACCTGGTTTCTAGGTCATTGAGTTTTAAGAATTTCCAGAATTGAGTGTAAACCTTCGCGTGTATCGTGATGCGATCTATGTCCTGACTAAAGTTACGTAGGTACTTACATAATATAATGCATTGTACATTATACGGCTTCTAATATAAGAAACAAATCATAACGTAAGACGTATAATTGAATGGTATCCTCCATTCAATTGAATTACAAGAGAGAGTGTTTACCGTGTGTGTAATCTTTCATCTGGCGTGTATCGGGACACGTAAACACGGCTCGTTACGTGGGATTGCGTGGCTGCAGTTACAGATCACAATAGTAAAGGCTTCTCTACTCTCCGTCTGCGCTCGCTCCGCAATTTAGCAAATCGTCCGACCTTATGTTTTTCACGAACCGTTGGCAAAGATAAAAGGAGCAACCACTGAACCGTACCCGCTTATGCAAAGTGTAGAAATCTTGTTTTTTAACGTACTAAAACAATGCAAGCCGGAATATAAAAGCCGCTGGAACACCCCGGGATTAGCAAGGAAACGTTTTTACTTAATTAAAATATCTATTTCAATTGCAAAAGTTAGATTTAATTTAGCCAACTTTAGATTTATTAGGATCGCCCACCAGATTCGTTTGTAATAAATTTAAATCCTATCTGTGTGAATCAGGTATCTTTTTAATTAATGGACCAATGTATATCGTATTAATTTGAATATTTACGCGGTAGTCTGCTTAGTCGGAATAATTTAGTGCCCTGTGGCTAGTCTAACAAATTAATGAACCTATTTGTATGTTTATAGATAATTATTTAATGAATACAAAGCCTACCTGCTGGTGTTATACACATTTAAGTGGGGTCCTCATAGTGCATTAATAAATGCATAATTGACTGATGATTTCATAATCACGAACGCATATAATGGGAGATTATTTTAATTACTCGTTAATTCGGAGAATTAATAACTACATGATGGTTCATTATTACACGTCGATTTCCTGGGAGACCTGATGGAGATATTGTAGAGTACGTTTCAATATATTTATAGTAATTTAAGTTTAAGTTAGCTTTAATTACATTCTCTTGTTTAGTAAAAGAAACATGCTGTTTAGCATTTCAAGTAGAACTCGACTGAAACTGTAATTTAAACTATTTAGACTTTTTGAAATACAAAGTGTGGACGACGTGCAGTCTCGTTTTCAAACAGCCAACGTACGGTTTATCTTGACCCGTCTGAAGTGAGCTACGAGCCTATCATTGTTTCTTTCACGCTTATGTTTCGTGCATCTTGTTATCTCGCTCTGTTAGTTAGACGCCTAACTTCAGAGAGGTCAAGATATGTTAGTTATTTTGAATGTAGTCTGCGATGGTTATATCTATCAACATAGTGTGTGAGATGGACTTTTTTATACCCTTTGACATAGATAGCAAATTAAGTAGAGGAACTACGTAGCAGCTAAATATTTTGTAGCTGTAAGTACCTTCATACAGAAAGTTTAACTTCATCTATTTTAAAAATACTTGGTTGCCTGCTTGTGTAAATATAATTCATTTATTGAATGGAATAAATAAACGTAGATACTTAAATAGAAGGTATGAGTAAAGTGCTTATTAAAAAAATTGGTTAAGGAAAATTAAGGGCTTTTTTTTTCTTAATCAATTTTTTTGCATTTTACACTCCAATTAGGTGGTACAATTTATTTATTTTTAATTTAGTTTGCATGTGTATAGTTGTGTAGGTACTTAGAGTAAGTATAAGTAGGTATCTACACTTAGTACCTAAGGCACGGTATGAAAAATCACATAACATAACAACACGCCTTTTATCCCTGAAGCGGTAATCAGAGATGCACATTACGGCACCTAATGCCATTGTACTATGTAACACCCACTTTTCATTATTTATGTTATTATTCCCATATAATAGGGGGAGGCCTATATCCAAAAATATAAATTCAGACTCTGTGGTATTATTTAGAACTTTAAAACAAAAACGATATAGGTACATACTTTTTCACCATCACCATACCCACTTCAAAGAGTACAATAAGTATATGGGACTGACCTACAAAACGGCATCACAATAATAAATAAAAAAATAACAACCTACCAAGTGTACCAAGCTAACGTCAGCATACATTTTTAATTTCAAGACAGAAGTATCTTACCGTATTCTCAGAATAAAATTAACAAGCAACTGCTACTTGTTTGAATTGTTCTTTCATTTAAATTATACATTAATTGCTTTCCAAACGGTCTCTGACTAATTAATACACACCGGCCATCTTTATTAGAAAGCATTTTAATAAATAATAAATAGCGAATGTTTTTAAAAGCATTGCCAGTTTTTCATAGACACACTAATGAAGAACAGAGAGGTGAACTAATGAGCTCAAAGTGAAAACTTAATTAAGGGCATGCTTATGAAGAACAGTTAGTTTCATTATTTTCTGTACTTTACGTATGTAGAGAACACACGAGAACAAAACAGTCACAAAACAGAATGTTTTATTAATATATTTTACTATAAATTATTATTATGTTTTCGGCTTACTCACGTAATCGAACGATCACGAACTCGACTATGAATATGAGCCTCTAGCATGACTTGAAACTAGTTGAGTTCCTCGTCAAATAATTACGTGAGTAAGCCGAAAACATAATAATTTATTTAGTATGTCTCACGAAAGTTATAATACAAATATTTTAATAGGTGTATTTACATATTTGTCTGGGGTATATTGACTGGGTGAGTGAAAGATTCATGTTGAACCCAATACATTTATTTGCGTGATATAGACGGCGTATGATAGCTAAAATTATCGCCACCTATGAACGTAACTAATCAGTAACCGCGCATTACCATAAATACGCTGATATTTTACTATGGGAAAATGTGAAAAAAATTGATGCGAATTTACACGCACTAGGTATCTAGGTCTAGGTACTCTACTAACTTCAAACACCAAGTATTCCAGTAAGTAGGTAGTTGAAAATGATCGTGGAGGCATTGAAACCCACTCGAGTACCGAGACTATTCCCATGTTCATCGTAATAAACCACACGACCAGTGAAAAAAATTTACTATAAAAATATTCTAATATTTACACAAAACATGAAATAGGTAAAAACCAAATCATCACTTGAAATTACTTCCACAATTGCGTTTCCAAGTAATTTTCTTTTTTCTCCACAATTTCCACCATGTTCACTCATTCATTTCACTTTGACACTTCTTTCTATCCCATAAAATAAAAGAAAATGTAACAACAAACCAAATAAATCTTCGTAAACAATTCGTAAAAAGTTCCTCTTTTGTGTGAACACACTAAACGCAAGTTTCACCTTCTCCGAAGCCAAGCGTGACGTTTGTAGGGAACACAAACAAAACAGCGACAGTTGTCTGATTAATAACCGCGGAGAACAATACGAGACGCAATATCCGCCAGTGTGGACCGCGCCTCGCGATTACAGCGGTTTATGACCCGTGGACGTCTTATGAACATCTGGTACTTTTACTTTCCGACATATCATATCCCATGAACGGAAATATTATTACCATCTGCGAAAACTATTTCAGAATTCGCGCATACAGAAATCTTGATTCAGAACACGGATCCTCAAAATTACCTTTAACATTCAACGTATGTTGTTAATGTTCTAAAGTCATACGGCCTAAAGCTCCATTCTGCTCCCAGAGATCCAAACTAATGGTCAATAAAATCGTTTACAGAATAACTTTCTTATGTCCAAATTACGTAACTGTAGCAGAGATCTACTAAAACTGCAGCCTATAAAGTATATCAGACCCGGAAAACAATACAACTCGGAGATGATAGTTTAATTACAGATTACAATTACAACTGTCCAAGAGAGTGGCAACTGGCCTGTAAATTAGGGGAGAGAACGGAGACAGGGTACATCAACGGCTTATCTAGCCGTTAGTAGCAAATCAAGTGTCGGAAATGAGTAACACCAGTCCTTAGGGCAAGATCTGCGAGGTAATTATGCAGCTGCACAGAAACTAATGACATAAGTAATTAG